AATATGAGAAATTTACACACCCGCTCCTCAACCACCCCTCTCTCAGTATAATTTGATTTACCTCCCAGAATCTGGGAGGTCACGTGACCAGCCTTTACAAGGGTCTCCGTCCCGCCGCGGGTGTGGAGGCCCTTGCTTGCGAGGTTGAGTGTAGACTGTGTCTAGTGATGTGCAAGTCTATACTACAGATTCAACATCAGTCAACAACCAAACTGAAAGTATTGAACCTTATAGAACGATAGTTTTTATTTGTTTACAACTATACATATTCAACGGTTATATAAGAGTTTAACTGTTATATTTGATAATTACTGCATCAACCGGCCCCTTGTTTATACTTTGGAGGTTCGTATATAATATCTAGCAAGTATCTTTGGTTCAGAACATGATAGGCCTATATGAAAATCCCACTGTTCGATTAAGTGAAGAAATATCTCCTAATTTCTATCGATAGTTTTAGTAAAATGTCAACATTATTGCGATTTATGGCCTTTGAAAGTCAAGCGAGCTCGTATATTATCAAATTAATACGCATGTATTAATTGTCTGAACGAAAATATAGACTAGCCCATACCTTTCGCCGATCATAACTTCGGCCCCTTCGGATGTATCTTTTTTGTTAAATATTCTTGTTCGAATCTCTATCAAAAACACTATTTAGAGTGTTATTTTTCAGCTTGTATCTTTTAATTTGCTTCTTCTATATTATGTTATTCCATTTCTGGTCTGACTTGACGTGAACTAATTTCAAAACGCAGAGTTTCAAAACGTCAAAACATTTGGTTAATGATTAACATTTAACCGAATTTAGCCGTTGATTGACAACTACATAAAAATACTAACCAATCAGGGACCGCGGAGACGGGGGGGCTGGGGGGGCTTTAGCCCCCCCACTTTTTTTGACAGCCAAAATTATTAAAATAGAAATCTAAATGAAACTTTCTAAATTAATTAAACCTTTTCTAGGCATTTTTAACTTTCGCATCTAATTAAAATGAATAAAGGCTAAGCACCCCATTATGTCTACCTTACATCAAAAAGGTCTAAATTTTGTTACTTTTTATGATGATGGTCTTGGAGATTTTTTGCTAAAGTTCCTCCAAAAATGCAGGAAATAGCGTTTAAGGTAATAGAAAATTGAACATTTTCCTTGGGGGTTTTATTGATGATTTAGCCCCCCCACTCTCTAATACGCTCCGCGGGCCCTGCCAATCCGTTTTTCCCGTTCACCAGCGAACGGGTAATTCAAAAACCCCTATACTATAGTTTTGCGCCAGACGGTATTTCCTTTGCCTCCCTAATTTTCGCTGCCTGTAGAAATACCGCCTGCCGCGCAGGCTACTGGTGGACGGGAAATCTGATTGGTTGATCAGCATCATGAAGGATTTTGATTGGTTGCAAGTTTACATAAACAGTTTTAAAAATAGCTCGGTCAAGGCGACAATTAATATAAAGGTCAAACGCACGTACAAATTCCATTATCGATTTCTTCGAATTTCTTTTTCTTTTATGCTTTATGGCAGAAAATAAATCAAACAAACAGTATTTTGAAAGGGCTTTATCAAAATCTTGGACGAATTTTGGACACACGACGCCGAAAGAACAGTCAAACTAGTCATGTATTCGAAAGCTTGTTGTTGACAGCCAAGATGTTTTGCCAACTGGCTTCGCCGGCAAAAGTCTTATTTTTAATATCAGGTCCTACCGGCGTTGTTTTCTGAGCTACATCGCCTTCTTCGTGGTACGATTGAGAATTTCATTGTTGCTGTTGTTAGCCCGTTTTAATAAAGTATATCCCTAATATCCGCGTCCAGCAAGTTGAGACCTTGAGGAAGCTTGGCAGTCTAGCCGTGCACAGAACTGACTAATTAAATCTTTGTCTGAATCTTATTTATATAAAAGTACCTTGAATTTTTAAGTTTAATTATAAAGCAAAATGCACACTCTGCGGACATGTTCATGAGAATATAATTTTTTTGTGTAACGAAATCTATAACACTTGTCAATCATATTGCATGTTGTGTCTAAAAATAACATGTGGGCGTCCCACGCACTGAGGGTCCCACGGTCTAGACAGGTTTTGTGTCAGGCCCTATTTCAAATTAGGGCCTGAACTTCAGGTTACGGTGGCCCACAAGTGCAAACACAACACAATATTCACTAAACACGACAATAAATTCATTGAAACACAATAACATGTTCGCTGAACAGAACAAACGATTTGCTAATCACAACAACAAATTTATCAAAACACAACACAATATTTGCATTGAAACACAACAACAAATTCGCCAAAACACAACAACAAATTCACTAAAACACAACAACAAATTCGCCAAAACACAACAATAAATTCACCAAAACACAACAATAAATTCACCAAAACACAACAATAAATTCACCAAAACACAACAATAAATTCACCAAAACACAACAATAAATTCACCAAAACACAACAATAAATTCACCAAAACACAACAATAAATTCACCAAAACACAACAATAAATTCACTAAAACACAACAATAAATTCACTAAAACACAACAATAAATTCACTAAAACACAACAATAAATTCACCAAAACACTTTTATAATTATTTTATATTATATGTTTCTAACATGAAGTGGTGGCGGACTAGAAGGATCGCGGGCTCTTATACTGTCTAGCGCGGTTTCGTCCATTGTTTTCACAGGATTTTCTCCGTGGTTTTAATCATGTTTTGTTCTAAGTGTGGGAGTAGTTTAGAATCTTCCAATAAATTTTGTTCCTCTTGTGGGCACAACCGCACAAGTTGATTGAAACAACCGAAACAAGTGCTACTTCCAAAAGTTCGAAAGATACAACTACACGTGGAACGAAATGTCTTAGTTTCGAGGAGTATGCCGCAAAAAAAAAGAAGAAAGGGCGACACACTTTAGAAGCTCGTCAAAGAAAAAAGCAAAGCCGAAAGATACGGAAACAGTGGCATTAATAAACATTGGTTTAATGAAATACGTCAGTTTTGACACGACAACTCCTGTTCGTGGAAAATCGTTGCCATTAAAGGTAAACAAAGACGCCAAATATGCGAAAGTTTTTTCTGTGGCGTTGACAAAAAGGGAGGCCTATGACAAGTCATTTGACACTAAATTAAGTTGGAAACTAGTCTACCCTGATGGTCAATATTGTTTAACACTTCCGGGTCAGGAAGATCAAGAGTTCACTTTAAGAAAATATAAAGAAGACCTGGGAAAACCATACAATCGAATCACCTTATACTTGTGCCCAGAAGAACCAGATTTCAATCCTGAAGCATTTTAGCAAGTGACGAAGATCAGTTTGATGTTACTCAGGATGTCAGGTAAATTTTGGGAAACATGGAGCCAAATAATAAAAAGCTCAATAGTTTTAATACCCAAGCATTCTAAACTTTTCCAATAAAAAAGCCAGCCACCGTCTTACTGCATTCAACATCTTTTGGTGGGAAATGATGTAATAAATTTGTGGGTATTAATTAATTAATACAGACATACTAATTGTGTGCAACAAAACTTTGTTTACAACAATTGTAGGCTGTTAGAAATTTCGGGAAATATGTCTGTATAGCTTTGATCTAGAGTTTTATAGTTATACTTGTGTAATCACACAATACAATCCCCTCCCCCTTCAGACGGCATAAATTTCATCTGTGGGGGAAGTGTATTTGGATAAAACCGTAGAATGAACAATGAGCATTCGGATTCTGCGTGACCAGCATGAAGAATATAGATTCATTAATAAATCCATATATTATTTCAGTATACAAATTCCTTTCTCATCAGGAAAAGGAAAAGAAAAGACATTGCATTTGTTGAGGATGAAATTGGATGTGGTGGTTCACAAAATACGTGAGTAAATTAAATGTGAATATTAAGGTTACAGGACACCCTTTTTGGCGTTTTGCGGAAAATCGCTACTGCGCGCTCAATATCAGTCCGATTTTCATCAAATTTTCACCAAATATTCTCCAGTGCATGCAAAATATGG